CCCTAATCCTCTTCCATCCTTTCTAGATGAAAATTAACTACATTTTCTTGGCTTGAGAATAAAAAGAGGAATCATAAAACTATTTCACATTTAAAGTATTATTTTTGAGGCCAGCTCAAATGTTACCAAGAGCCAGATTTGACTTGTGGGTCTTGAGTTTCCAACAACGTATTATTCATCCATTTTTATACAAAGAAAGCTGAAGATTAGTGTAAAAGTAGCTGGAAATAATTGCTCAAATTCTAAATGCTAATCAGAAATTCAAGCTGTCCACCACAGCTAACGAAAGGCTATAATTCATCCATTTTAAGAGTTATTTGTTGTGGAGTGGCTAAATCACAAGCTAATCCCATATTGAGTTAACCACTAATGCTAATGCTATTTTTAAAAAGGGCTAAAATCTGGCCACTTTTAAATAAGCACAGCTGACACTTTATTAGTGTCAGAGAACAATTAATAAAATCTAAATTCAAATATTTAAAATCCAAGATTCCCACCCAGTTGTCAATCATTTGGGGGTGGTACCTGGGATGGCCAATTAGGTGCCAGGGGTTCTAACTGTAAAGTTTCTGACGCTCAGGTCTTTGTGATAGAAATTATTCTTCAGTATACATACATATGTTGTCTTTATGTTTATTAATCAATAAACATAAAGACAATTTCCAAGAAGGCAAGCAAGGACAGATTAATACTCACATTTACATTTATTAAGATTTATATCCAAAAAAAAGGTGAAAAGTAGAAATTCTGCAGCCTGAAACTGACACGAACACTCAATGAAGTTTCCTCTCAGTCCACTTAGTGTCAGGAGCAAGCTCAGATTTAGGAAACATGATGCATGCAAACACACTCAACATGTTACAAATGACTGAAGCTGCCTGGGATGTTGCAACTGACGTCAAAATCAACATGAGAAAAAACTAGAGCAAAAGCCCTGTTTAAAAAAAGGAAGCAAAACTACACAATTAAAAATGTGTTATCAAACAGAAAAAGCAATAAAACTCTACAGATATTTTAAGCCAATAAAATTATTTAAGAACAAAATCAAACAATCATTGTGGAATTAATACTTCAAAACATTTCTAACAATAACAGGGTTGACTTGTGATTATTTTCACATGGTAATGTCTCTAAAAAGTTATTAACAGGTTTTTTTTGCATTGTGGGATTTGTTGAAAGCTTTGAGATGAAAATGAGTTTAAGTGAAGCATGAACAACAAACATCCAGATATTTGCAGTTTTTCAAGTTTGCAGCAGTTGTAAAGTTAATACTCTGCTGCTCTCCCAAGACGATCCCAAAGTTGAATTTCTACCAAAAATGTGGTCATTAGAAAGCATTAAAGAAAATGAATGGCTGGTTTTTTTTTGTCTCTAATAAGTCATTATACTCAAAAGTCAGAACATAGCATAGCATTTTGGCCAGAAAGCAACAAAAAGATCAAAACTTTATTACTTCATGAATCTTCAGCCACAAAAGTCTAAAATACAAGAAACTATGAGTGGTTTCATACAATAAATAGCTTTTTGTCTTCTTCAGTGAAGCTTTGACAACAAAAATCCAAAATCACAACAAAAGAATTCTTCATTATTTCAAGTATGCATAATGTTTTTTTTATTGTCGTTTGTTTTTCATCGTTCAGATTCAATCCCCAAATATCACGGCACGTCATCGGTTCGTTGTTCACCAATAAAACACAAGTCCGTTATAAAAAGAATACAAAGCATGAAAATCCTACATGTTAATGATTGGCTATACAGTAACTTCACTACATTTCTTGCATGCTTTGGTTAACTTTTAATGTTTTTTACTTCTATTTGATGAACTGAACTATACATGGAGTATGTACAAAAACAAATTATGCAGAGTTTCACAAAAAAAAGTGGACCCCTTAAGTAAATCTTGGCATTGTGGAGTGTTTCCATGAAACATAGCGATGTAAGTTTAATAAGCATCCGTAAAGTGAAGCTGTTTGGTGACAGACAGAGTTAAAGACTAATGTTATGTGGATTTAATTGAATTTAACTCAATATGAAGAAAATAACCCAACACAATGGGCTGAGTTGGCAAAAGTAACATGACCTATTTTAATTAAGGCCTTTGCAAATCAAACATGAACCACAGTGTAATGATTCATTTTCGATTTTAAAGAAAAAAGAAGCTTAAGTATAGAAAAACAAAAAGATAAGATGTWTCTTTGTCACTTTTGGGAAAAGTAGCACCATCAAGAAGAATAAAAGCACTTAGCTGTTTTGAGTTGGCATGTTTTATAGAAAACTGTCCATGTCTGAACCCTTTAACTTGTTTTTGTCTTGATTGCAATACTAAAAAAAAAATCTCAGGGTTGGGGAGGACACATGTCCAAGATCCTATCAGTGAGTTGTTGCATCCCTGTCACTTTTATTTGCGTTTTCTGAGTACCAGGTACATGAGGCCGCTAACGAGAGTCATGGGGAAGCAGATCCACGCCAGGATATAAGAGGAGCCGAAGGTGCCTTTTCGGAGACGGGGCTCATGAAAGCTCTTATTCTCAGCGGTGTAGATGGAGGCTGCGATCAGCACACATAGAGCTGGGAGGAAGAGGGAAAAAAAGTGAAAAGTTACAAACAGTTACTTACGATGTCATTTTTGTCTGCTTTTTATATAACCAACTGCATTTTTTTTAGTTTATTAGTCAACAATGCACTGTGCTAAAATGAAGCTTATTCAGCTGGTTTAAAAGTTCTTCTATGTCGTTTTGATGTGATGCATTCAAAGTGGCACGTTTTCTAATTTATGTATGCACGATTTGTGCGACTGATTTCATGAGATGCAAACTCAACACACACACTGTCTGTCCATAGAATTTCAAGGCAAACTGATGTGTTTAGGCTGCTTAGAGATGCTGTCTGCCATGAAGGATTTTAGTATACTGTAAAGCCTGAAACATACTCACTGCGAACTGCCGACGTCGGCACGGGTTGTCGCAGTTAAATGACGAAAATTACGTCACCGGGCTTCTCAGCGTCGTGTCGACAGCCCCTTTTGGCGCAACCCGCCGGCAGAACTTTTTGACCCCCTCCCGTGTCGACGGTAATGTGTGATTGGTCCTGGAGTTCGTGGGCGTGTTTGTTTGTGCTGCGCTCGGGGTGTGGGGGGGGGGACGACTCACTCCCAGACTAGAAAGCAGAGTTTTATAAGATAGTCAAACCATGAAAAACTAATTGGCTTGTTTGTTTGTGCTGAATGCGCTGCTGCACTCGGTAAAAAAAAGGGGGGAAAAAAACCCCGACTCACTCCCAGAGCCGACACCAGCAAGTAGAGTAGTAGTAGTAGTTTTTTTAAAGATAGTCATTCCATGAAAAACTCATGAATGGAGATTAAACAGACGTTGTGCACAGAGGAATCTGACGGATAAAAAGTGTGGAGCTTTAACCAGGACAGATGTGGATAAATACGTCAGGTGAGTGACAAATCTGACTTTTTTTCCCTGCATTTTCGGCTGTTGTGGGGGAACTCCATGCAGTGACGTGTGTTTCAGGGAGTGGGGTTTCCCGAACTCGGTGCGGGGGTGTCGTAGGGACTATGAAAGGTCTGTGCGAAAACAACTGCCGAACAACCACGTGACCGCGCATTGACCCGTCGGAGCGAGTATGTTTCAGGCTTAAGTCGCCTCTGCAAGATGTTACACAAAGCTAAATATGAGAAGTTTACTGAAGTCGCAGGTACATAAACAACATCGACTTTTTACCAGAAGCAGAAACGTGCAGGAGTCTGACCTCAAGGTGTCTTAAGAAGCTGCACTTAAGCTTGCTACAGTTTTTATTTTGTGTTTGCCTCAAATGTTTTGTACTCATATTTGTTAAACAAGAGTACTGTTATTCATGAATTTGAACATGAGATAAGTAAATATACTGCACTGTATTTTAGTTTATAAAACACACACACACACACACACACACACACACACACACTGTATGAACAAACATTTCTAAAATGCCAGTTTCATTCCATTTGGGTAAGTGTGGAGCACAGTCTGGTCCTCTGACAGTGTCAGCAAAAATTGTGTTCCCTTCCATCAGTTAAGATCCTTGGTTTAGAAATTGTATATTTAGTTGCCCAGAAGTACCCCAATGAATTACTTCCCAGATCTTGTCTTGTAATATAAATAACCACTTTTAAGAGTAACAAAACTAGGCAGCACTTATGAAAAAAAATCAGTTTTTACTACCATAGATAACTGTGTGTTTTACGTACAGGCCAACAGCTGGATAACAGCTGTGAAAATGAATCTCTCTCCCTGTTTGATGCTGAARAGCTGCAGGATGAAGACGAAGAAGCTGACGCAGCATAAAATGGTGGCCAGGATGATAGTGGCCTGAACTGCCTGCAGATAAGCTGATGGGAGAAAGAAGAACGAAGGTTTATATACAAATACAACTCACACTCGTGTTGGGAAAGCAGCTTTAACAAGGCTCACCTGCTGCAACTGTGTGGCTGTTCTCCACAGGGTAGCAGGTTTGGTTACAGGAGTACCACAAATCAGTGTAGATGACCTCATCTCCGTCTGACACTACCCACCAYGCCTTTATCAGGGAAGAACATGTGGAACAAAATAAAAGTAGTTTATGTCTTCAACGGTCATGTAGTGCGACAGTATGCTGTAGATATACATGGTGTGGACTTACATTGTGAATAGTGGCAACAAAGAGCAGGATGGAAGTAGCCAGGTGGAAGAGGATGATGAAGGCGAGGACGATCAACATGGCTTCCCTTTGATCAGTCTTGTATGATATTTAGCTCTTTTGTTCCCAGCAGTCAGATACCTTGCAGCTTCTTTTAGTCAGCGTTCAGATCTCACACAGGCTGGGAGGTAGCAGATGAATGTTGCTGCTCGCTCTAAATGTTGATGTCAGCCAGGCAAAACTGCAGGATGATACTGAAGACTTGGCCAACGTCTCTCCTATGAAGACAAAAACCTGTTGGGAATATTAACATAGAGAAGAACCAAAACATTTAGTTCCTTTGCCAAGAAGTCACTCGAACAACTTGTGTAGAAATATTAATTTTTACTTTTTGTGGCTTAAAGAAATTGTTCTTTTGAAGTGAGGTTCAGTCTACTGTCTCTAAAACAAAACATTTCTTTTTTTTTTTAATTCTTGCACAATTTTTTTAAAATATGTTTATTGTTTTCAACAAATTATCAACAGTGTGTCAGTGGAATCCGAACATTTATCATCATAGATAGATGCAACTTATTGGTCAGTCAGTTGAAACCAGTCCATGTGAGATGTTTACAGCATTGGAATTGCCTCCCTCCATTGTTCTTTGATATGTCCATGCAGCAATAACAGCTGTAAATGGAGCACAAGTTCCACCTGCCCAATCATCAACAATATTAGGA